GCCCGGGTGAGTGTTTGGATGGGAGACCACCAAGGAAGTCCAGGGTTGCTATGCAGAGGCAGGCAATGGCAGACCACCTCTGCCCTGATATGGATGGCCCAGGCTAGTCTAATTTCCCCCCCCACAATGTGGCCAGCGTGATGATGTCACCTCCAGGTGGCATCATCACGCTGGGGACACCCTCCAGTCCCAACCCCTAGACCCTAGGCAAGTATTTTTCCCAACCCCAAGCTGGCAACCCTAGACAAGGACAACCTGCCAATATGGCTGTGTATACAAGCAAAATAGTTGCTCCTATGTCTGGAAGGTGCTGCTCAAGTGAGAACAGTAAAGCAAGTAAACAAGGCCACTACATAGGATTGCCAACCTTCAGGTGGGGCCTGGAGATCTCCTGGAATTACAATTGATCCCCAGACTGCAGGGCTCAGTTCCCCTGGAGAAAATAGCTGTTTTGGAGGGTAGATTCTCCTTCTTCCATCTGAGCTCCATGAAGTCTAAGCCAATTCTCACTACAGAAACATAATCTTCCAGCTCCATTATGCTGTAATTTTCTTTTCTTTTCTTTTTTGCATGTGGTTGGCCTGTTTTCCTCCAAGGATGGTTTGTTATAGTAATCCAGTCTCGAGGTGACCATTACATAGATCACTGTTGCCAGGAAGAAGGGAACCAACTGCCTAATCAGCCGAAGATGGGAAAAGGCTGACTTTGCAGTGGCTGCTACCTGGGCCTCCATCGTTAAGGAGGCATCCAGGAGCACTCCCGAACTCCTAACCTCTGGCGCTGGTGCCACGGGCGCCCCATCGAAGGTCAGGAGTGGGATCCCTACCTTTGGACTGCTCCAACTCAGGCACAGAACCTCCGTCTTCTTCATATTCAATTTCAGTCAACTCAGTCTAAGCTAGCCAGTCATTCTTCTTTGTAAATGTTTCTCATGGGTGTAGGGCAAAGGGAGGAAATGATCAGCTCTTTTTAGGCTGCTTCCACATAGAACTTTTGGCCTGGTTTTGTGAGCAAAGAAGAATGGGGTTTTCTTGAGCTGTCCACACATTATTCCTCAGTAGTGCTTCAGTTGTCCTTGTATCATGAAAGCCTTGCAAGTTCCCTCTTCCACAGCTGCTTTTAAGGAACATTAAAGGTATCCAGAGATGGCAGATACTGTCTATTGCTGGGGGAAGGGGCAAATGTAGCATTTCCTTCCAGCCTTCCTCAGCCTGTGGTACTTAGAGTTGCCAACCTCCAGGTGAGGCCTAGAGATCTCCCATTATTACAACTGATCTCCAGACAATAAAGATCAGTTCCCTTGGAGAAAATGGCTGCTTTTGAGGGTGGACTCTATGGCATTGTACCTTGCTGAGGTCCTTCCCTTTCCTAAACCCCACCCTCCTCAGGGTCCAATCCCCAAAGCTCCAAGTATTTCCCAACCCCGAGCTGGCAACCCTAGACAAGGACAACCTGTCAATATGGCTGTGTATACAAGCAAAATACTTGCTCCTATGTCTGGAAGGTGCTGCTCAAGTGAGAACAGTAAAGCAAGTAAACAAGGCCACTACATAGGATTGCCAACCTTCAGGTGGGGCCTGGAGATCTCCTGGAATTACAATTGATCCCCAGACTGCAGGGCTCAGTTCCCCTGGAGAAAATAGCTGTTTTGGAGGGTAGATTCTCCTTCTTCCATCTGAGCTCCATGAAGTCTAAGCCAATTCTCACTACAGAAACATAATCTTCCAGCTCCATTATGCTGTAATTTTCTTTTCTTTTCTTTTTTGCATGTGGTTGGCCTGTTTTCCTCCAAGGATGGTTTGTTATGCAACCCCCCCCCCCCAAACATTCAACATCTGTACTTTGATTTGAAATGTATTCTGTTTTGCAAATGAGAGCAGTTACCCAGCTACATGGTGGAAAGTGTCATGAAGTCCCACCCCACTTATGGTTTAGAGTTTTCAAGGGTTTTCATAGGGTTTTCAAGGCAAAAGAAAAACTGAGGTTTGCATTGAGGTGATGAAAGAGGAGGTCCTAAAACTGATAGACAACTTAAAAACTGATAAATCACCAGGCCCAGATGGCATACATCTGAGAGTTCTGAAAGAACTCAAATGTGAACTTGTGGATCTCCTGACAAAAATATGTAATCTTTCCTTAAAATCAGCCTCCATTCCTGAGGACTGGAAGGTAGCAAATGTCACTCCCATCATTAAAAAGGGTTCCAGAGGAGATCCGGGAAATTACAGGCCAGTCAGTCTGACGTCGGTACCGGGTAAATTGGTGGAAACCATTATTAAGAAAAGAATTAGTAGGCAGGCACATAGATGAACAAAACCTATTGAGGCAGACTCAGCATGGGTTCTGTAAGGGAAGATCTTGTCTCACTAACCTGTTAATGTTCTTTG